AGTGGTTGAGAGTTTCACGCCTTGATCGCTTCCCTTTAGTTGTTCTGTGGACTCTTCTCACTGACCAGCTGTTCTTTCCTTGGTTTCTCTAATTTCTCATCGGAGAGGAGCTCGAGAATTCGGCTTTAGAGCTCTGAGCTCCCCGTCTAACCTCCTTCCTTGTCTAATCTCGCTTTCCATGCTCATATTTGGTTAAAATTCTTATTCAGTATCATCAATTGTCATGCAGTGTGTACTGCATGTGGATGGAGAGGAACAGAAGGTTATTTCGAAACCAACAAAGGGACCACTGTACAGTTGCTCAAGCAATTAAGAATACTGTTAGCGCAAGGTTCTTCTCACTTAAATTCAAGAGAACGCACCAAAACCTTCTCCTTTTACAGCAATGCAATTCACCAGAGTCATTACCTCCTGTGATATCCATCTGTTCTACTCCTAATTGTGAGGATAAGGAGCTCAGCTGGAAGTAATGGCTCAAGGCCTATACTTCCAGGTGAACTCTTAATCCTTCTTTTAGTTTGTCGGGTTTTTTTGGAAGGCTGCAATTGCCTTTGTTTTTTGGTTTGGATAGGAGTCGTTCCATGTACTCTTTTTTATTTTCTATTGATCAAAACAAGTTGTTTACTTAGGATGAAGTTGGTTACATATTTTTAAAATGTCATAATTGGACATATGGGTAGGAACTAGATCACATAAAGTGGGAGCAAGGTGAGAATGGAAGCGCAAAAGCATTAACATTAAAAAAAAAAAATTGAGAGTGGGAGTACCTTGAGAGTATCATATTATTTGCATACAGACACATATTCACCCACAATAGTTTAATATAAATAAAATATAAAAGATTAAAATTTCATGCAAAACTTGGAGACAAACTATTTAATTTTTAAATATATGCGGATTATAAAGTCCTAAAATAATAATTATAGTGTACAAAAATTATTTTAGTTTCATATATATGTTTAGGCCTGAATCAGCACTTCCCAAATAAAAATTTGAAAAAAAAAAGCATAAAAGTAAGCAAGAATTAGTTGAATTCGCAAATTGAAAAATTGAATTTGTGAATTTTGTGAAATGAGAGCATGAATTCATGGAGAATTTGCTCCTAGAGCGCGACAACTATAGAAATTTAAAAGGATTATGTGACTAATGGTAAAAATGCTTCCCAATGCTCACCCCTAATTGGATTTTGAGAGGGAGGGAGAGTTGAATGTGAATTCTCTTTCTAAGCAAATATTATTCTACATTGTAAAGGAACTATGGATTTATTGCGGGGGAGGAATCATCCCCAGGGTCTAAAAAGTTAGGAGATGAGGATCAATGATAAAACAAGTGTTACAACCTATAAGGGAAATATCTTGAATCCCAAATGGTATCTTAAATGAGCACAAATTATCCAATAATTCTTATCGATTTAAATTCTAAAACTTGAGATCGCTTGCATTACTCCTCTCTATAATATGACATGCATAGCCCTTGTACTTCATAGTGTGGGAAATGGGCTCATTTCCTTTATCAACACTCCTCTTTTCCTCTTATCTATTTTCTTTTGTGTTTCTCAAACTTTTACATTTATCCTTGATTTTGATATGACTTCTATAATTTAACTATTTTTTCATAAAGTTTCTAAAATCGAACTTGTTATTAATACAAAGAGTTTATCAACAACCCCTAAATTTATCACTTTTGCCACTATTCCCCCGAAGTTTATTTCAAACGTGACCCAACCCATGGCTTTTCGTTTTTTTTTTTTTAATATTTTCTTAAGTTATAATAGATTTTTTCCTTTTGTACTAAATAGGACAAAATAAAATAGTATTATATATATTTTTGTTGGGTGGCCCACCCAACAAACTTTTTTCTTTCTTCTTTGGTATTTAAAAGCTTTTCCTTGGATTATTTAAGACTTTTTTCCCCTCACAGTTTAGACTGATTTTCAATTCAATCTTTAAAGTTTTTTTTGAGAATCTTGTTCTCCTTCTTCCACAAGATATCAATCAAGTCAAATGAATGGCTGCTGTTAAATTTCTATAGAAACAGTCACGGAGGCATCACATTATTCTTCCACAATGACACGTTGTAATTTTAGTTGAGATTGTCATCAAAAGTTATTGACTTGTTCAAATTTATCGAAAGTTGTAAAACGAGTAGCAAAATTAAATCTGATAAAGCAAAACTATAGCCCCAGTCACAAGGTTTTTCCTCCTCATGTAACAAGACTTTGAAGTCGACTTCTTTCAGGAATTTTCTTCCATGGTATTACTGTTACGTTCGTTATTTTTTTTCAAGCACACACCCAGAAGGGAGAATTTTAACAAAGGGATTAATTGCACTTTGTCTCACATTATGCTTTCAATGAGATGAATAGGTTTCACATCACCTCGAAATCATAAGATTGTAAATTACGGATGAAAAATTATAATTTGCTCTGGGGTGTCAAAATTTGAGATTTGGGTCTTTCTTAAACCGCTCGTTTCATAAACGAGTGGTTTTGATATAATATGATTAATAAACGAATTTGACACGGGTGAAATCAATCAATAAAAATATATAACACGACTCATTTATATACCGATTATAATGATTCATACACGATGCGAACTCAATATAATACGATTCACTAAACATGAATTAATAAACAGATCGAATATGAATGGAGTATTTTTTGACACGGATCCCCTAAAATTCAACCTAAACCAGACTTACCCGATGCGATTGTCAGACATAGTTTGTTAGAAAACTATTAGGACCTAATTTGAAGATCTAATACATAATGTCTATTGGATTAATAGTGATTCTAGCATTGAATAAACAAACGACATTTATTAAAATTTTATTCTACATGAGAGAGATTGGTTCTAAAACTCAAACATAACGTTCATGAAGAAAATTACTTGTTAGATTCTAAAAGCCTTTGCAAAATTTTTTTTTTTGTGGGGCCCAATAACTTGAATGATTGATCTTAGGAAGTTGTCCAGACTTTTCTCATTAAAATAGATGAACAAAAATGCTCATTATTGGTGAGTGAATAGTCTTCTTGGTACACGGATTGCTCTTTTGCTTTTCTTCCAACAGCGTGTAAGAAATGCAAAGACTTCTCCATCAATTTTGCAGGGTGTTCGTGCCTTTTGACTTCACTTCTTCTCACCTTTTGTTACGGTTGGAAGAACTACTCTCTCTGTCGCACACATGTACTTTTCCTGCGTAAGGGGTGGGCTGAGTTCTTACTAGGATTATAACATCACGTAGTGTTTGTAAACCGTGTTAGTTTTATAATATTAATCTTATTTAATTCATAAGGAACTTATTTATCACTATTTATCGTTAAATTTGTGTTGCTTGGAATCTGTATCATGAATCCGTCTATGTTAAATTGGAGTGTAGTATTTGTTCTTATCATTTTATTATTTCGAAATCAAAAAAAAAATTAATATCTGATACATGAGACTTTTGTCGCACAAAATATTAAATTAATTTTTTTTATGGGAAGGTCCTCCGCAATAGCTTGCTATTGGGGTTCTCCTTGCTATGGGTGGCAATCGTATTATGACTTGTCATATCTGATCGTGTTCGTGTCATGTAATTTTGAGTTCGTGTCGAACATTAATCAATGATAACTCAACCCATTTAACTAATTATTTTGTGGTGTATTGTATCAATTCATTTATTTTCGTATCGTGTTCGTGTTGATATATATAACCCATGAATAAAATATTTAATTCTCAGTTTTATGTCTAAAATTTCATTATTACGTTAATTATCCTTGTGATTCAGTGGAGATAACCTAAACACTTTTTTTTGTGAATTCATATGAGTAGAAAAAGATCGAGACCTCTTTGGTCATCAATACCCATGGTCTACAATATGTGAACAAGATGAAAGAAAATAGGATGCTTCGTGACGCCGGTGGGGTTGGGGATGCTTAGGCGGCGGCCACCGGTGGAACTACCTCCGTAAGTCTCAGGAAGATGTGCAGAAACATCTTTTGCTAAGGTGTTAAGTATTATAAAAACTTAGTAAATGTATACTTTGAATGACTACTTTAGTAAAGTTTGAATGCGATACTTATAGTTATAATTATAAAGTTGAATTCTCAATTTATAAAGATACAATAATGGAAAAAATTAATTTAATTTTCATCTATTTTTGATCTAACGGTACAAAATTCATATTTAAAAAAAATTGCATTTAAAAATATCATTTTTTTCTGTACAATCTTCATGTAAGACAAATCAATCAACACACTCCTCACTATCAAACAATTTCATAAATCTACACTTACCTCTCTTTTCTCTCTCTTCATTTTAATTTTAAATCTTATAAAAAAACCAAATTACTATTTAAAATATAAATATCACAAATTCAAAACATCAGAGGCCATCCCCTTGACTTGTACTGATGAGAAATTTACTCCACGAAAAATTGAGCAAAAATCTACTGAATTAGCATATTTCTTGCATGTCTCAATTGAAGTATTTTGAAAAATAAAAATAAACTGAAGAATGAATGTTTTTTCAACGTAACGAAAAAACTCAAGAATTCTCGTATGTTATCTCCTTCAATCACCAGATTAATATTGAATTTTATGCAAAGTTGTCTCTTCACACATGTAAATTTCACTTAAAATATTAGCTTAATTAATGATGTAATAGTTGATATAATCTAAGAGCATTATTGTAATTAAACAATTAGCATTTTTTAATGGAATCTTATCACTTATCACATTATTATATCTAAATATTAACTTAAATTCTTAAATCCCAATAATAACATTGACCTTTAAAATATGCATAGTTGGAGTAACTCTATACAATCCTACTTTAGTATTTATAATTTTTTCCTTGGATCGTGCAATTAGGAACAAATAAAAATTTTAAGCTTGTCGAGAACAAATAAAAATATATATTTATCTCACGACCAATATGTAATTGTTTGAAAGAATAATTAAATTAATAGTGTGACCTAATATTAAATTAATTATACCATCAATTTAATGATTATAGTACGCTATCTCCTGAAACTAAAACACCGAATTACACATGCTGCACATGCAATGAAGCTGAGGACAATGAAGCTGCACATGCTCTTGAAAAATGGGGATTCTCCATGAAAAGGAAAGGAATTATTCTTCGCGACCACTTTCCGCAGGCAGTCAAAAGAATTGTGCTGAAGGAGCAAGAGGCTAATCCACACAGCACACAGGAGGTCACCTGTACAGTACATTAGTTCGATTCCTTTCTTTTTTCAGAGATTAAGCAGTTAGTAGGTTTACCCGCTCATAGAAACACTTGTAAGTACACTTATCTTTTATCTCCTTTTATCTCTACTTACATGAGCAAAATAAATAAATAAAACACCGAATTACCTGACATGGGGCAGTGGGTGAAGTAGTTTCCACATAACCGTGTGGAAGTTTCGGAGCAGCCACAATGGCCCCAACTTTTTCTCATTTCACTCGGATCTCTCCTTTCTCTCTCTGCCTAACCCTTGTACAAATGACCCGACATAACCCCCCACTGTCAGTATAAAACCAAAACGTACGTGAAATCGGACTCTGACTTAAGACCCAAGTTTTTAATGTATATGGTGTATCTACTCACACATACACCTATATTATAGAGAGAGAGAGAAAGGGTAATGGATGATCGGCCACAAGTTTTAGATTATAAAAAACAGCAGAAGAATTAGTTTCAACTTAAGAGCCAAGTTTGATACATACATAGCCAGAAAGAGAACAGCAGCTGCTTGAGGGAGGTAATGGAAGATCGCCCACCCGGTTTTAGATTCTACCCAACAGAAGACGAATTGGTTTCGTTTTATCTGCATAACAAGCTAGAAGGAAGGAGACAAGATCTCCACCGGGTTATACCTGTTGTCGATATCTACGACTACAACCCATGGGACCTCCCACGTTAGTAAAATTCCCATCTTTCTCTCATGCTTTTTGTTTTTTTTTTTTTTCAGTTTCATGATCCTCAAAAACAAGTATTCTTAATTTGGATCGACTGGTTAAATTTTTAATATCCAATTATATATCGTTGGTGTTTACTCAGTTCTTTCTTTGCAAAATGCCTAAACAGAGCCTTCTTGGGGTCTGTTAATAGCAAGTTCAGAATGACTTGTTGTTTTTCTAAGTTTCCAAGTGAATCTCATCCTGACCATTATTTTTTTCCATTTCCTTTGGTTTTCTTTTTCTTTTTTGGAAAATATAACTATACAATCTCAATTTTTTTTTTTTCCCAAGGTTTGTTAAAAAGCTCTATTTTCTTAACTCTTGTCAAGATAAAAGAAATATTTCAAACTGTAGTTTCCACTTTGTTTATTATCCTCTCTCTCTCTTTGTTTTCCTAAGTAAGCTTGTGGCCTGTGCTTCATGAAGATCTCAAAATAAGCTTTTGATTTACTTTTTTTTCTCTTTTGAATTAAGCATCAAAGACAGTACTAGAATTGATCATGGAATCTCATTTCCATGCTCTTTTGTTTTGGGGGTCAGAATTTGCAGGAGAGCTTTGTCAAGGAGACACTGAGCAGTGGTTCTTCTTCATCCCTAGACAAGAGAAAGAGACCCGTGGAGGAAGACCGAATAGGCTCACGGCTTTCGGATACTGGAAAGCTACTGGATCTCCGGGGTCTGTTTTCTCCGATAATAATCGAATAATTGGAATGAAGAAAACAATGGTTTTCTACACAGGAAGAGCTCCAAGTGGAAAGAAGACTGAATGGAAGATGAATGAGTATAAAGCCATTAAAGGAGAAGCACCTTCATCAACTAGTACAACTCCTAAGGTGTGTGACTTATTCTAGGTTGACCACCATAACCAAATTGTGAATATGATTGGATCTTAATGGGTAAATAAACCTCAGAAAATTAGATCTTGAAAACCATTCTCTCTCCTCTTTCTCCCGCATCTTAATGCGTAAATAAACCTCAGAAAATTAGATCTTGAAAACCATTCTCTCTCCTTTTCCTCGTCCTCGGTGCTCCTCATATATAGGTGATAAAAACACCAGCCTGAAACCCTGAAGGAATAAATTGTGTCAAGACAACCAGAAACACACACACACATACACTATAATACCATGTGCCTCTTTTTTCCGGAAAGCGGGAGAGGATGGGGGTTTAACTTGCAACCATGCATCTACAGACAGTGTATAACAAAACAAAAATGATAATTAGAAAATTTTGAATGATCCCTTGCAGAATTTTTTCTAACTAGCTATTTCAACCTGATTATATTGTTTTATTGATATTATGCAGTTAAGACAAGAATTCAGTTTGTGTCGAATCTACTTAAAATCCAAATCTTTACGAGCATTTGACAGACGACCCACAAGAGTGACGAGAATTGAAGCTTCAGGTCACGAACTTCGTCGTGGCAATGAGGCAACACCATCATCGCTTCAAAACCAACCAATGAGGGAGAGAACAAGCTCACCGGATAGCCCATCTTCAGGAGACCATGCCAATCCATCACAAAATATCGAAAAAGATAGTTGGGATGTGCCTGCTGATAATGATCCCATTTGGGATTTGGAACAGTTCAATTGGTTTGACTGAAGAAAAACAGAATTGGATAGGATCTACAACTAAAATGGGCAAGCAACCAACAATGGTGAGACTATCATCAAAATTTAATAAAGACAGCTAACAACTTAGTAATGGTAAACAAATGTCCCCTTAAACACAACAACAAACAAGTTTAAATCGGCTTACATACATTCGCTTACTTGCGTTGTTTCCCCTCAAATTATCCTAGTCAATCCAATCTTATTTGTCTGGAGATGGAGTCATCTTGCTTGGTAAGAAGCTTTTATGTGTAACAGTTGCACTTCGGGACCCTTTCCTCTTTTAACAATGGCAAGTTAAGCATTATGTTTAAGAAACCTAATTTATTTTGTACAGGTTATCAGATATGTTTAATGTCTTGTAATTAACATTATGTACTTTTATATATCACGGAGAATTTACCCCTTTTGGGCTTTCCTTCTTTTTAAGGAAACGATAAGAGAGTAACCCGTAATGGATTTAATTAGAAAAAAGAAAAAGTCTGATTAATGAAAAAGTTTATAAGTTGGTGAATATTCCAAAGTTAGAAGTTCTGAAGAAATTTCAATCAGGTTTATTTGGAGAGTACTGGAAGAATCCTTTTTGGAAGGGTGATGTTGATTGGTCGTTGAATTAATGTTAAAGGTATACCTAATGTGTGGACCAATTCATATAGAAGATCGGGGGTACCTTTAATGAGTATGGTTTTCCTAATATTATTGGGTTCTTGTTTTGAAAAATCTTATTTCAACCTAATTTGAATACCATCCGGTGGTAGTCTAATGGTTTGCGGTATTTTGTTTAGGGTCTTCCATAACTCTCATGAAATTAATAAGCACGATATGATTCTCGGGTACTACCGCTGGTCTCACTAGCAGCCCTGTGGTGGAGAAGTTAAACTATGGCTTGAATCGGCCTTTGCGAGGCCTGCAGTTTCCCGCCATCTTGGCCTTATTGGTGGACTTTTCTCATATGTTCAGGCTACTATGGTCCCGCACAGACAAGCGTTCCACCCTGGTTGTCCCCTTAAACCCTTGTTTTTTACCCCAAAAAAAAAAAAAAACTAATTTTTGCAACCGAATCAATTACAAATGCACGACTAAAATTGGGCCAGATCTATTATTAGAACTCAGAACTAACCAAATAACTACATTAAATTAGGTTTATTATTAGGTCCCAAATTTAGGTTCCTATAACTTTACTCGTTTATTTTTACATTTAAGTGGGATTTTTTATTTATAATTCGAGTTCATCACTTATATACAGTCGATGAATACGATTGAAAGAAAATGAATAAAATATAATGGAGAGAATCTAGATCCATTTATACAAGATTCTATCTTATTTTTTAATCTTTGTTATTTACATGAAAGATTGTACTAAACCAATGTTTGTTTTCAAAAATATTTAAATGGTTTACTTTTAAAAAAATGTGAGTTTTTTATTTAGCTTTAAAAAGAGTCGGTTTAAAGTTCAAACCATATTTTTATAGCAATAACGATAATTTAAAAATTAATGTCAATTTTAACGATAATTCACAACCATGAACGTAATTGATTCAGTTGAAAATATTGATCACAAAAAATATAAATTAAAATAAAATAATAGAATTATTGAATCCAAGTAACGTGACTGTGTGTTGATAAACACCAGAATTAAAGGTCAGTAGTCATGTGATTTTGAACGGAAATGCTTCATTTACATATTCAGGTTATGGGTTAGATTATGATAGCAACAAAGTTTCGTTATGTTTTTTGTATTTTAATTAAAACATAAAATCTAAAAAATCATCTTATTACATTGTTTTTTTTATTCTATTATTTTTATGATTAATGACTAGAAATAATTCGTATGAAGATTTGTGCCTAAGAGTTATATTATGAAATTATTCCAAAAGTTTACTTTTCGATATTATAACTTCATTCGTAGGGTAAAAGTTATGAAGATGTTTTTTTATTGAGTTGAATTTTTTTTGTCATCATACATGATTGCTAATTTGACCTTAGACTAATATTTTTTTTTTCAAATGTATATTCATGCCATTCTTTCTTCTTTTCTTTTTTTACAAATAATTTTTTGTTATTTGTTATTTTTTCAATCAATAGATATAGATCATTTAATTTAAATTTAATGAATAAATGAGGTCATAGGTAAACATTTATTATCAGCAAAAGATACAAAAGTGAGAATAATTATTATCAGCAACCAATGGAGCTGGCCTGGAGCTGCAAATGAGGATATGCAAGCTATCATTAATGGGCTTCCAACTTATTCTCCCAACCAAGCAAGAGAAGATATTGTCAAATGGAGTGAGTGCTGATAGAAAGTTCACAGTTAAGTCAACTTGGGAACATATTAGAGGTATAGCTCCTAAGATCTCATGGCATAGTGTTGTTTGGTTTGGACAGGCTATACCCATGATGGCTTTCATTATGTGGCTGGCTATTAAACTTAAGCAAAGCACTAAGGATAGACTTTAAAGGTTCAACCACCAAATGGATCTGATGTGTGTGCTATGTAAAAGAAAGGATGAGTCTCACAACCATCTTTTATGCAATTGCGAGTTCTCCAAGAAAGTGTAGAAATTTGTGATGACACGAAGATATCACTCATGGGTCAGTGGAAATCGACAATGACTTAAGGTTATTGAATTAGCAATCCAGCAGTGGAAGAGAAAAGGAATGAATTTTGTCCTCCTCAAGCTATGCTTGTTGATGGTGTAAATTAGCGAGGACGAGCAGAAGATATGAATTATGCTTGACAGTTCGGACTTGAGCCGCTAAGCTCGCAAGGATCGTGAGAAGTATTGCTAGGAGATTGGGGTAGTTTGCACAATAAAGATATAGTGGTTCACCAGCTCGAGAACTCGATTAATCCACTCTCTAATGGAGGCTTTTTTTTCCTTTTTCTATATTGATGGTCAATATGGCTAACAAATTATCCCTTATGGTATTAGGTTTTTCCTTGCCTCTCAAGGAGGCACTGTACAGTATTTATAGCACAATTTGTATCTCTAAGGGATCTGCAGCAAGATCCTTGCTCTTCATCCGTTGGATTTTCCCTGATTTTAGGAGAGGATCTCGGGTGGTTGAGAGTTTCACGCCTTGATCGCTTCCCTTTAGCTGTTTTGTGGACTCTTCTTACTGACTAGTTGTTCTTTCCTTGGTTCCTCTGATTTCTCATCGGAGAGGAGCTCGGGAATTGGGCCTTAGAGCTCTAAGCTCCCCTTCTGACCTCCTTCCTTGTCTGATCTCATTTTCTGAGCTCATACTTAGTTAAAATTCTTATTCAGTATCATCAGTTGCCCCCCAACCCTTGGTCCAAGCTGGCTTGGACAGGGGCTGAGCTGCACTAAAGCTGGTATGTATCCCACGTCGACCTTGATTTACACGTTCAAAGAGTGAAGGGGATGGTCCTTACTTCGCTCTTTGAATTCTCTCCCTAGGTTCTTTTTCTTCCTCGCATCCCCTGTTTCCCCAATCTATTGGAGATCTTAGGGTTTTGCTGAATCTCACCCTTTCTTCACTTGGCTTGTCAGGCTTGCTCTCTATTTTTCAGTGAGGGAATTCTGGTCTGCCATCCACCCTTGATTAGGTACGTTTCCTGTCCCTTACACGTTTCTTCATTCTAGATCCCTTAAATTTGAGGTAGTTAATGCATTTCTGGACCTTTCGATTCTGCTACTTTAAGAATCGAGGCTCTTCTTTGTCTTGTCTTCCCCTCTTCTTAGATCCTTACTCCACCGCTAGGATTTTCATCATTGGTCACTGGTGTTTTGCCCCCCTAACCCTCAAGGAGTGTTTTTCAGAGGTTCCTCCTCTTTACAAGTCTTTTAAACTTCCTTTCTCTTGTCCAGTTATGTCTGTCTCTTCCGAAGCTACCCCCTCCTCTATTTCCCTTCTGGGGAACAAGTCCACTAAGGGGGATTCTGATTTAGGTGATGTGGGTGAGGAGATTGATAAATTCACCGATGTTGATTTTATTGATGTCAAGGGAAAAACTGAGGAGATTCCCTCATCAGCCTCCCTCGTGCCCAAAAACTCTAACAAAGGTAAGGCCAAGGTGAGTGGCGTTGGAATATCAGGTAGCACTAAGGGTGCAGGGGCTGTTTTTAGAACTACAGAACTCGTGGGCTCTAGTGAGGTCTCTCCTTCCCTCATGAAAGTTATTAGTGCTCATTTTGGCTTTCCTCTTGGTGTCCAATACTGGTGCCTAGATAAATTCACCTCGTACATCTCTCAGGTTCATAAGAAGGTCTATTTTTTTGTGGCCACCTTTTAGAACGGACTTCACTTTCCAATGCACCCATTTATCAAGAGTTTTTGCAGCATTTTAACGTCTGTCCTGCTCAGCTCTCCCCCAACTTCTGGGATGTTCTGGTGGGTTTTCTTGTTTTCTTTAGAAAGCAAAAACTTGGGGTTCCCACTGTCTCTTTGCTTATGGAGTATTTTTATGTTAAGTACACTTCTTCTGATGATTTCTTGTATATTTTCAAACGGGTTAAAGCCAAAGTGATTATCTCTGACCTCCCAAGCTCCCATAAGAGCTGGAAAAAAAATTTCTTCTTCGTGGGGGGCAATCAATGGGAATACAATCCTACAGACATCTCAGATTCTCTTCTCATCCCTCCAGCCTGGAAAGCCCTTGATAACTTGGGTAAGCCCTTGTCTAAGTGAGCTACAATCAACTTTGATGGCTTTCTGTGCTAACCTCTTTTTGCTTTTCTTATTTAGTTTCTTAGGTATTCGACCTGAACTCAACGTTACAGATAGGCAAGCTTTGTTGTCCCTAGAGGGTTGTAATTCAAAGAGGTACTCCGAGATCATCAAACCTTGGGTTCTCGTAACGCAAGGGTTCAGTCTCCCAAAGGTAACAAGAAGCCCTAATCCCCCTCTTAGTTGTCGATGCGAAGGAGGCGGCTGGTAATAACCTGACCTTTCTGTCTCTGGCTTCTCCCCTTTCTTCTTGCACCTTATTTATATATTTTTACCTGTTCTAGGTCCTTAGGTTCTTCTGTGATGATGACTTCCACAGCAGAGCTCCAAGCTAAGCTTTCTTAGTTAAAGAAGACCAGGAATAGTGGTAAACGTAAGGCTAAGGTTGGCTTTGGTAACGAATTTGCTCCTCCAACCAAGGTACCGAAGATGAGTGTGCCCCTCAGCTCTCCTGTTTCAACTCAACCCTTGATCATTCAGCATTCATCCACTCTGCAAGTTGTAAAGGGTCCTTTCCCCATAAGATCTTCGTTCGCTCCCAACGAGGTTCTTGAGCAAA